AAAGCACGGACCGCTCACCGGCCCTGCACACACTGCTTGAATGAATCTGTTAAAGGGTCACGAAACACCAAAACACATTTTTTTGGGCTGTTGACAGTCGTATATGTGTCCCACATTGCTAAAAACACTATTAGGACACCTATATTTCGCTAAAAAGTGTAAATTGGTTGTTTTTGCGTTATTTCAAGCAAATTCGTACTTCCTGTTTGAAACGAATTTTTGAAGCTGCGTCACGGTCATGACATAATAGCCTGTATTCCAGCGTGCAGACTGGGCGTCTGTGCCAGAGTGAGTCTTATTACGTCTTACAGTGTGTTGCATTAATGTATGAGTAAGGCTTGGTTCAAACCAATCAGCGCGCTCTATTGTGCAACTTCATTAATATTCATTACTGTCACAGTGTAGACGGCAAAGACGCCACGTTGTGTTGGCAAAACAAGCGTGAAGTGTTGCTTTTATAGTTAGCTGCAGTTAAGTTTCGTTTTCATTTTGTCTCTGTGAGAGCGCAGACTCACGCGTGGATTAACAGTGTACGCGTGCAATAGTTAGCACTAACAGTTACAACCAAACTATAACCTCGTGTTGGATTTTGTGACTGGAATAACACACGCGGCTTTCTGACACTACCTGCCGTGTGTATCTAAGTTTCCGGGAAATGCTGAGTTTTTTTTTCTCTCATTCGCCGTGCGGTATCAAACACTGCATGAAAAATACACGCTTAGAGCAGATCCTCGAATCAAATATCACGTTTGTCGGGAGGGACATGAATGAATTCCCTGAATGAAAGAGCCAAACTGCAGTTAAAGTCCACCATTTAATAACTTGGCAAATAATTCGACTACAGATGTCCATGTAAACACAGTCACATTGTCCTCTGTGGGTGTGTGTTTTGACTCTGAAATTCAGCGCGCCCAAATAGACACTCCCATACCAAGCCGCTTTTCTTCCTCCGACACTCCCCCCTAAACAGAGCTGGACACGCCCACTTTTCTGACTTTTTCCAAAGTAGAGGTGTGAAAACACACTGCTGAAACGAGGGGGTTTCATGGCCCTTTAACGATATAACTGTGCTGTTCTCACAAGTGCTGTCTGATATTGCACTAATGCTTTTGACACATATTGTACCTTATTATATGCATACATGTAATAGCAATACCGTTTTTTTTTTATGAGTAGCGATATTAGTTTACTCAGTGCAAGCCCGTTTGCGATGGTGTACGTGGTGTTCAATTTGACATATAGCTGTCCCTTGCATGGCGGACAGCATCTGGTGATTATATGACGGATTAAACAGAAGCTCTCGTGCTAGATGTGGCAAACAGTTACCTGAAAACTCCATCCCACAGACTTTTCATAGCTGACTTAAAGCCAATGGAATTCTTCTACTCTTGGAAAAGTGTAGATGATGGATTAACATTCAGCACTTGATCACTAGTAAGATGTCATTATTTGTAACTAGATGGTTTCTAAAACAAAAATCTGTTTGTTATCTTCATTTTCATCTTCAGCGCTTTACAATTTTTCACGGTAGTAGCTCTTTCTGTCATCCCAAGTCAGAAGGCGCTGAGTGATTGACAGCTGATATTAACCAATCATTCGTGTTCAGTGCTAGAGCAGTGGTGGGCCAATAAGAAGAGCGTGAAGGCGGGGCAAGCATTACGGACTTGGCTTTGTTTACTGCAGCAAGTTGACATGACAACTGTTTTAAACCATTCCTGAGCGCTGCGTTTCGCGTTCCAAGTGCAGACAAAGAGCTTAGAGATGCATTCTGCGTGAATGTCTGCCGAATCCGCGCATGTGGATAACATTTTGCAGTAAAAACTGGTTGCACACAACAACTTTAAGCACTCGCAGAAATGCTCCCAAATATATTTTAAGGTCCCATAGATAAAATTTCGGGCGCATATGCGATCAAAATGGTAGCAATTTCGAGCCCTGTAAAAATCCATAAATAATATTAATGATAATAACATAAACATCTAAAACAGTTTGATAAAAATTAAACAATTTTAGAAGGATTCACATATAAAAATATTTCATTTAAAGTCTCTCCAGATAAAAATTGTTGTTTGATAACATTAAAAATAGGGCATTCCACAAAAATATGTTTAACCGTTTGCTTTCTGCTTTCTGTTGCAATATTGACATTTTGGGGTTTCTTCTCCTATAAGTAAATGTTCAAGTGTGAGTCTTGTGTGTCCGTTACAGGATCTTCTCCATAAACCTAACTATGCAATAAGTACATGTTGTTATTATTCAGTACTAGTATAATAATAATAATAATAATAATAATAATACAGCTACACTATGACAACGACTACATAAAATTAGTGGTTCTTATTATTAGTAGGGCTGGGCGACAAAATCGGTTTTGATATTTATTGACCGAACACCAATGTTAATATTGATAAAAAAAAAAAATTGGCATGTAGTTTCGGTATGAAGCGCTATAGTTTATTTAAAATGTGGCTGGTGATCGTGCACCTTGACAGCAATGCCAATAAGCTTTAAGCCTGGTTTATACTTCTGCGTCAACCGGTCAGCGTGACCCACGGCACATAAAATGCACATTGCCGTGCATTTATACTTATAAGTGCTGTGCGTGTTGTTTGCAGTAACACTTCAGAAACGGTAGCTGCCAGTAGGTGTTGTCTTCACTGTTTTTTCTTCGCTGGTGTTTTGTTTTTTTCTGAACGCTCCCTCATTTTAAGACTGGAATCGTCAGACATGCAACTACTTTAATCATAAGGTCTCCATCCAGAGCTCCTTCACAGGACTTTACACTTGAAAACATTTGCTCAATCGCGCGACCTTCGACCTTCACCCTCACCTAGCCGACTAATCACAGAGCTTGCGCTACACGCATTGCGACGAGTAGTTCTATTTTTTAAGAGGTGCGCGGCAGCATCGCCGACCCCCACAGGGAGGGCTCTGCGTCCACGCGTAGGCTGCACCGTATCATACGCGTGAACTTGACACAGAAGTATAAAACAGCCTTCAAGGTGTCAGTTTGTCATTTCCAATCGAGGCACACGACTTGCATAATGCGCACATGTTGTGCAAGCGGCACGCACATGAACCATTGTGCATTTTCCAGTCTCACCTAGTTGAAAACACCTCAACTTTTCAGAATGCCGCAAAGGCAACGTGATTGTAAATAGAACTAACCAGTCTGCTTCACGCTTTGTGCAGAATATACACATTTCAGTAATAACGGCAGACTAATCACCTCAGACAAACACAGCACACCAATAAAATGAGTGCGGTGACTAGCAGCAGTGAGGAGACTGGAATTAAAAAAGGATGTAAGGATGTCGCCAAAATGGCTTTTTGGTTTCTTTTCTTGTGCATCCGGCCACTAGCACCCCATCTGAAAGATTTTAGCATAGAGGTAATATAGTCATTCAACTTCACAATTCGTAACGTTGCAGTATGTGTTTGAATAATGATGGTTAGTTCCTTTACTTGAAAGCTCAGAGTTGATTATTATTATTAGTGTTGTTGACAGATTTTGAGGTCTACCGTATCGTTATTATTCACACCTTAAAGTTTGCCTTGACTGTTCAGTATTTATGCTTTACAGTTGCACACACTTTGTAACATTTTATTTATCATGTTTAATAGTCTCTTTAACACTTGTTTACTTTATTAAGAAAACGATTCAATATTTTGTTTAAATATTTTTGTTTTCGACTGTTAAAACTATTTGCCTCAGTGATGTTGGTCAATTAAAATAAAGTGGCTAAATAAAAAAATCCTAAAGGTATTGTTAAAATATTAAATTATTAGCAATATCAAATTCTATGAAACATGATATTGTTATTTATTTTTTTGCAATATCACCCAGCCCTACTTATTAGTGCCTTAATATCAGTGGTTCTTGCTTTAGTAAACAGTGTGGAAAAAAATAGCTGTTCTATAGCACTGTTTTTTATTGTTGTGAGAGTAAGATCAGTCTGTGCCAGAGGAGTTTCCTGGCATAGCAGAGCCTCTGGCACAGATCTGGCATGCTGTCCTATCACCATGGGCACAACACCGGATTATCCCTGCAAAATAAAATCCCCACCTTGTGACGCCCCTGCTAGTACATTACACAACCGCTTAACACACGCACTGGCATTATAAACACACTGACCGTCTCCAACGCAGACATATACGTGCATCTAGAGTGTGCTGGTCAGTGGTCTGCCTCTTCCTCTTTTTCAACAACACTCTCACGCGCGCGCGCGCGCACACACACACGCACTTTGAAGTCCACAAGAGAAAGACAAACAAGAACCATTTTAACAAACTAATGATTACTTTCTTTCAGCGCCGAGTGGAGCAGTCCCAAAGCTGACCCCTCTCAACCCCAATAACCTTCAGGCCTCATTTACACTCGTATACAAAGCTGACAGATGCACAATTTCATGTGACCAAGGTCTGAATCTGAGGTTTATTGTCTTGAACTCCACGTGGAGCAGATTGAAGGTTCTATTAATACAAAAAGCTCAAGTGGCATCAGTGTGATCGATCATATGGGATGTACAGTGAGTTCGTCCTATAGATCCACATCCATCATGCATCTGTACAGCGTGTAAAGGGCCTGATCGATAAAACACTCTCATTTTCACTAATTCAGCCGATCTTTTTTTAACTTAATAGACTGAGGTCTTCAAGACATGATGATGCACTTTCAATAGATGAACAAGAAGGGAATAAACCCGCGGGAGAGGTAAACATAGGAGCTAAACGCTTTAAAATGAACTCATAGGCATGTTTTATTTATTAAAGCGTTTTCTAAAGGGCTACGCTAGGACACCGTGTGTTATGACGGGAGATCTGGTGCATATCTGCTCGGCAAACATAATAAACTCGTATTCATAACGAGAATCGTCTGCTAATGTACTTCAAAGGGAAACAACACATCACATTTAAGTGCAATTTAAATATAGAGGCTGAGGCTAGGCTAAGCATCACGCTAGCCATCAATCATCGATGCACGTTTTTGGGTCTCTTACCTCCACTTTTATTCTCCTGCGTTGTGCTGATCAACTAAAACGTAAAAGAAATCATCAAAAGTCCATGTAAATGGAGCGAAACGAGGGTGTTTAGAGGCTTGAAGTGTGTTTTTATTCCTCTCGCGAGCTGTTGTGTATTGAGCTCTGCCAATGACCACTCAGCTGCCCCAAAAATAACAACACCCAGCCGCACGATTCTCCTCACAAACCGCCCCTCAGTGACCCAAAACTCGAGCCCCGTCGCACAAAGTCATCCCAGGGCGCTTTTTTGACGAGTTTAGGGCTTTTTGAGAGGTCGCCGTTGCCGTCCTGTAGGTCTGTGAGCGATGTTACGGTAGTGCTGGTGTCGCGGATAGGCCTCCGTCTAGCGACTCAACGGGAGCACAAACAGGAAATGACCTCAGCGCACGCTCGGCGCGACGTCAGTGGCAACGTCCGAAATTTGAATAGGCCGCTTTTCTGTTTCTGCCTGTAAGTACGTTCATTATAGTGAAGCGTTTATTTAATAGGAATTCATTAATGCCAGGAGTGTTTCATTCGCTGCCGTTTTTAATTTTTATAACACATATCTTTGCATTTACATCTGATTTACACTTACACTGTAAGCGCCCCCTGCCGGTTATATGTGACAGTTCATCTGCAGTGGTAATATTTCATTGTTAAATTCGTGTGTGGTCATACGCAGTCATACGAACAAAACACTATATGGTATATGTGCTATAAATGTCAATATGGTAATAATTCAGTAACATGGAACTACCTTTGATCAAATCTATAAATATGCTCGTTAACTTATACCCAGACATATGTAGGCTACTTACTTGTATTTACAAATAAATCTTTTACTGATTATAAATTAAACTATGAATATTAGTCAGGTGAAGTAAACCCAAAGCAAACTTATTTAGATAATCTGAGAGGTACTTTTGTTTGGTACTTTGTAATTTGAGAGGTGTTTTGTTTTTTAATGAATCTCAAAACAAGTTAAATTACCTTTTAGGTTTTGCTTTTATGTTGTGAAGCTAAAGAATCAATGAAATCTGTATAGGTTTATGAAATACAACAGTAATTATGAAAATTCAATAACTAATGTTTTAATTACACTCGTTATGTGGACAATTGGCAATCAGACAATCCATAAAGTGCAGTCTCATACAAAAGGTATGAGAGCTGTCACTGGGGTGGTGCCTTTTTAAAAGCTACTCATTTATTCCTCAATGGTCCATATTAATACCCCATGTATACATACATATTAGTGCCTAAAAAGTACAAAGGTTTACCTTATAAAATTCTTAGGTACAAATATATACCTTTGAGGTATCAATATGGACCATTTAAGTACAAATGTGTATCTTTTGGAAAGGTACCACACTAGTGACAGCTCATTCATTCATTTTCTTTTCAGCTTAGTCCCTTTATTATGGGGTCGCCACAGCGGAATGAACCGCCAACTTATCCAGCATATGTTTTACACAGCAGATGCCCTTCCAGCAGCAACCCATCACTGAGAAACATCCATACACACTCATTCACACACATACACTACAGACAATTTAGCTTACCCTATTCACCTAGTGCATGTCTTTGGACTGTGGGGGGAAAACGGAACAACTGAAACCCAAGCCAACGAAAGGAGAACATGCAAACTCCACACAGACATGCCGACTGAAGGCTTAAACCAGCAACCTTCGTGCTGTGAGGCAATCGTGCTACCCACTGTGCCACCATGACGCCTCATGTTAATACCTTAAGGCAGGGGTGTCTAAAGTAGGTCCTGGAGGGCCGGTGTCCTACTGAGGCTTCAACTTGCTTTAACACACCTGCCAGGAAGTTAGTATATCTAGTAAACTCTTTAGAACACTGGCCCTCCAGGACTGAGTGTGGACACCCCTGCCTTAACGGTACATATTAGTACCAAAAAATTACACAAATGTAACTTAAAAATTTTTAGGTGGGAAATATATGGTTTTGAGGTACCTATATGGACCCTTTAAGTACGAATGTGTAACTTTTGGAAAGGTCCCATCCCAGTGACAGCTCTCATACCTTTATTTTTGAGAGCGTGTAACTAGATTACAATTTTAAAACTTACAACAAACAATAAATTTGTTTGGAGTATAATTTTGATTGTATAAATTTAGCATCACAAGCGATATTCATTATGTGCTGAATATGAATAAATAGAACAGAATTGATGTTTTTTTTTTTGTTGTTGTTCACAGTGCCTCAAAATTATTTTGAAAAGGAATCCCTAAGTTTACAAATTTACAAAAATAATAAATTTATAATATCTGAAATCAATACAGAAATTATGAACAAAAATGTTTCAGATAAGATTTTGTGTTTTATTGTGTTATCACATTTTATACTCAAATTCTTGTATTCATACATTTATTTTCCCATTTATTATTAATTTATTCACTGTAAAAAAATGCTGGGTTCCACACAATTCCTCCATGTTGTCCTAACGCAAATCGATTAAGTTAACTTAAGTGGATTGAACATAAAAGAATGGGCAATATGCACACAGACTTTTAATTTTCAGCCAGGCAGCCCAAGAGCTTCAGGTGTCTAGCCATTACAAAATTGTCACGTTTAAGATCTGATTCCTTTAAAAATCAGCGATCTTCACTGCTGTTAGATATACGCATTAAATTCCATTTCCCCCCGCCATGTTTTTAAAATATCAGTTTATTTTACCCCAGTATTTTCAATAGAAAATGGCATTTCTGTGTGGAGTTTGCATTCATTCCGCCGTGGCGAACTCTGATTAATAAAGGGACTTAGCTGAAAAGAAAAGTATTGAATAAACTATTATTATTATTATTATTATTAGATTATTTGAATCTATGATTTTATATTTTTTTTATATTATTTAAATTTTTATTATATATATATTTTTTATTATTATTTATGAAAACTGCCTTTTGTAAACAATAAAGGCAGGCAGCCCATTTTTGAACTTATTGAAAATTTTGGATATATTCATTATTTTTCTTTTGGCTTAGTCCCTTATTTATCAAGGATCGCCACAGCGGAATGAACCGGCAACTATTAAAGCATATGATTTAGCCTTCCAGCTGCATGGGAAACACCCATTTACACTCACATTAACACATGCACTTACCTACTACGACCAATTTTGTTTACCCAAATCACTTACAGCGCATGTGTTTGGACTGTAGGGGAAACCGGAACACCCGGAGGAAACCCACACCAACACCGGGAGAACATGCAAACTCCAAATAGAAATGCCAACTGACAAAGCCGGGACTTGAACCAGTGACCTTCTTGCTGTGAGGGAACAGTGCTAACTATTTTGTATACAAGTCATTTATTTTAGTTGTTTAATTTTGTCCCTTAAACATGGGCTGCATTCATACTTACCATCTGTATCATAAACAGTGACTTTTCACAACAAAAAAAGACTTGCTGCTTGTATAAACTACTTATTTAAAATGAGTTGAAACAACACAATTCTTAAGTTTTTATGTGGGACAACTTAACTGTTTCATGGTCAATCCACTTAAATTTGTAAAAACCATGGAGTCAACTTTGATTTGTGTTGGAACAACAGGAAGGCATTATTGGAAACCCAGCATTTTTTATGCATACATTGTAAAAAGCAATTAGTTGACTTTACTGTATTCCATGTAAATTCATTGTCTTAAAATAAGTTAATAAACTATGTGCATATTTATATAAAAAAAAAGTTAAGTCAGCTTAACAGCTCAAAGGTTTACTCACTTTTTAAAGTGAAATCATCTTGTCCTTTTTAAGCAACAGGTTTACTCACCTTTTTAAGTAATTACTTGCTTTTTACAGTGTACCGATGTCTTGGACAAATCATATCTAATGTACTTTTTTAAGTACTTCTTAGATTATGAAGAAGATAATATTCAAAAGAACTAGGTCTACCTACTAAAAAAGTGTGTGGTTTTGAACACAGCCATATCCCAAATGTAAAAATACTCATTTAAAATAAACTGTGTTTCTGAACCACGCTAAAGTGCTTGAATAAATCTGAAGAATTTCTTGCTGAAGGAATCCCTAAGTTTACAATTTCACAATATTAATAAAATTATAATATTTTACACCATGGTTTCTGCAGGTTTCATCAAGTTAAATTCAAGACTTTCCAAGATATTTTTAAGACCATTATGAATGAAAGTGCTCTTAAAAAAATAAATAAATAAATAAATAAATAAATAAAAAAAAAATATATATATATATATATATATATATATACACACACACACACACACACACACACACACACACACACACACACACACACAATTATACAGTTTAAGTCAGAAATAATAGCCCCCTTTTGATTTTGATTTATTTGATTCTAAATATTTCCCAAATTATTTTTAACAGAGCAACGAAATTTTCACAGTAGCCTATGTCTGATAATATTTTTTCTTCTGGAGAATGTCTTTATTTGTTTTATTTCGGCTAGAATAAAAACAGTTATTAATTTTTTAAAAAACATTTTTGGGACAAAATCATTAGCCCCTTTAAGCTAATTTTTTTCAATCATTTACAGAGCAAACCATCTTTATACAATAATTTGCCTAATTACCCTGACCTGCCTGGTTAACCTAATTAACCTAGTTAAGCCTTTAAATTTCACGTTAAGCTGTATAGAATAGTCTTGAAAAATATCAAGTAAAATATTATTTACTGTTATCATGACAAAGATAAAATAAATTAGTTATTAGAAATAGGTTTTTAAAACTATTGTGCTTAGAAATGTGCTGAAACAATCGTCCCTCCATTAAACGGAAATTTGGAGGAAACATAAACAGGGGCGCTGATTATTTAGGGGGCCTAATAATTCTGACTTCAACTGTATATTAATAATAAAAAATAAATTATTTTTGATCGTTTTTAGCAAAATATTTTAACTATTGTGCAAAAACAAGCAAGCAACTACTTGTATCTATACACTTTTTTCCAGCATAATTTTTCTTATAATAAAATATTAATACAATTATAATATGTTAAACCAATATACTAATTCTAAACAAAAACTATTAAAAAAATTTGTTTGTTTACACTCATATATTTGTACTCATTTATATGTTTACATATTTATTATTACTTTTTACACTGTAAAAATGCACTGTAATGTTTTTTTAAAGTACTACTTCAATTGTGAATTAGATATTATTTAAAAGAAGTGCCATATCCCAAATAAAAAAAATACTATAGAAATTTAATGTAAATTTAAACCATGCTAAAGTGCTTGAATAAAACTGTTTTGGTAATTCTACAATTGCTACTTATTGTTTATTACAAAGTGTTTGTACAGTAATAT